CCGCTGCTTGGGGCGCTGGTGAGCTCGGTGAAGTTGCTGCCACCGACACTCCCGCTGCTGCTGCCGCTGCTGCTGCTGCTGCTGCTGCTGCGGCCGCCGCCGCCGCTGCCGCCGCCGAACGAGAAGCATGAAATGTGCTGGCCAAAGACGGTCTGGGGGTGCTGGATTCTGTCAAACCCCTCCGCGTCTGGCGCCGCCGGCCAGCGCGGCACGCTGTGCTGCAGCCAGAAGCCGCCGCCGGCGGCGTCGAAGGCGGCGGCGCCCTTGCTGTGGGCATACTCCCAGTGCTCTTGGCCAGAGGGATCTTCGTCGTTCCAGAAGGCGTGAGCCAGCTGCAACGGCGGCGGCGGCGGGGGCGGCGGCTGGGCAAGGCGGCGGCGGAAGAGGGGTTGTGCGGGCCGCTGCGGCGGCGGCCGGCTGGGGGCGGGGCGGGCGATGGCGGAGAGGGTGTAGCTGGGCGGGCCGCCGTCTTCGAACAGGGACAGATGGTGCTGCCATTCGCAGCCGCTGGGCGGCGGCGGCGCTGCGTCCCCGGCGCCTGACTGCGAAGCGGCAGCAGCGGCGGCCCCGGGCAGGGGCGCGCGCAGCCGGTCGCCGTCGCCGCCGCCGGCGCGGGGGGCGGCCTGCGGGCGGCGCGCCCCTCCGGGGCAGTGGTCTGCTGATAGGTATGAGTAGTTGTAACCGCCGGGGTGCTTGAGGATTATCCACCAGTCAGTGGGCGCCCCGTTCAGCCCGACGCAAGCGGGCGCGGCGCCGGCCCGGCGTGGGCCGCGCCGCGCGCGCGGCGGGGTGAGTGGACGGGGCAGCCCCCCGGCGCCGCGCGCTGGCGGCGCCGGGGTGGATGCACGCCATAGGAGCGCCTGGATCCGGGCGTGCGGGGTGCTGCCTTGCGGCGTGTATGCAGAGGTTACATTGAAGCAAGCCGAGAACAGGACGAGGACAAGTATGCACGGCGGGGCCGCCATTGTTGTCGTGGCACGTGCTAGTCGCGTTGCGGCGTCACGGCCGGGCGGGTTGGGGCAGTTGATGAACAAGTATGTTGCAAGCGATGGAGTAGGTGAAGGTCACAAGCAAAAGTCTCTAGATATGGGAAAGTTTTCTTGCATCTTTCGTTCACGTGCCTGCTGAGCTGAGCTGAGCTGAGCTGAGCTGAGCTGAGATCGCTCCCGAGATCGCTCTGCTCATCTGCCCCCTGAGCTCACCGCGACCTTTGAGGCAAGCTTGTTGGACGAAAATAACATCTTTTCAATGTGCTCTGTGTCGCGCTTTTTATGGAGGTGTGTGATTCCAAGTCTAACAGGTCAACACTCGGCCATTCTGACAAGCTGCGAAAGGCTCCCCTGCTGGTGAGCCATTGACACCGCCTCAAACAGAGCGCCAAGGTCCGATGCACGCTTACATAGCACAAGGCTGCATTACACAGATATGCCGAGCAAGCGGCCCTGCCCTGCAAGCCGCACGCCTGCCGAGCCCGCATGCGCTGTGCCGGCGGATGCCACACTCCCAGGGCATGCCGCACGCACGCGCTAATGCTCAAAGCTGGGTGTGTTGAGCAAAAGGGAGGGCTGTGAGCTTGGCACCAAGGTTGACAGCGCGCAAGATAGAAACTCCGAGCGCCGTGATGGGCGGATCACAAGACCAGGCTGTGTGAAGCAGGTCAAATTCACTTTGACCAATAGTCAAGGAGGGGCGCACGGGAGCGACGTGCGCCCCGCCGACGCGGCCGCTGGCGCCCCACCGGCGTACGCGCGCAGCCGCCAATGCGCGGCTGCCGCGGCGTGCGATTGTGTGGCGCCCGCTTGACGGACGGCTCCCGACAAAGGCCCTGCCGCCGGTCGCGCATTACGCTTGCAGGCGCCTGCGCCCTCGCTGTACTGCTCAATCACCAACCGACGCTCGATAGACTAGTGACACAACAACGCGACAACACACAGCCTGTGCCGAACGGACGGCACAAAACAACCACAGTCACTCGCCCCTTTCCCTGCATTTATGCATGCGCCTATGCAAGAAGGGAGCACCAAGCCCCGCCCATCGGAGGTGAAGGCATTCTTCGACTTTGGTCAACACGGGTCAACGCGACCGCCGCACCACTTGGGTCGCACGCCGGTGCAATACCCGGCCGCCCGAGGGCGTTGGGCCAGGCCGCGCGTGGAACTCCAAGCAGCAGGGGGAGATAACAAACGGCCCCATGAGGGGCGGTGACAAAGCACGCCCGGCGGCGCCCGTCGCGCGGCGCCGGGGCCGTTGCTGGCGCTGCTTCAGCCGGCAAGGGGGCAGGCAAGGGGCTGGGGCAAGGGGCTCTGCCGCGAACGGAGGACAAAACCGAGCGCCGCGGCACTCAAGCCGCAAAAGGCGCAGGCGCATTCAGCATGCGGCGCGGCGGCTCGCACACGCAGCGGAGGGCGGCCTGAATGGGGCGCGCCTCACGCCGGGCGGCCAAGCCGGCGTACGCTCTCGCGCGCATGCGTCACACTCTGCTGAGCCGAAAGGAGAGACGAAGGGGGCCACGGGGCAGGGCACGGCTTGCGGCGGCAAGCCGGCGGCCGGGGGGCCTTAAAATGCAGTGCGGGGGCAGGAGGGGGCTGATCGGCAGATGCTGCCGCATCCCACCAAAGAGACCACCCACATGGGTAAAACCTCCTGCAAGCTACTGGTGAAAATAAGAGGGGCGGTCAAGCAGCCGCCACGGCGCCTGCCTCGCCGCCTTGCTGCTGCTGCTGCTGCTGCCCTGCCCCGCCAAACGCTGCCGCGAACGGGCAGCCGCCAGCGCTCGCGCCCTTGCCGTCGGCCGCCGCCGGCGCCGCCTCCGCCGCCGCCACCGCTGCGGCCGCCAGCGCGGGCACGGGCGGTCCCGCCGGCGCCTTAGAGGCGGGCGCGAGGGGCGTGGTCGCCGCCGCGGGCGGGCCGGGCGGCTTGTTCTGCCGCTGCTTGATAGACATCCACAGGCCGTTGGTGGTGTGGATGGTGGCGCCTGCGAGGTTTTGCGACGGCGGAAGGTTGTGTTGTGTTGGTCAATGGGGGGTGAGGTGGGTTGGTCAAGGGGTTTGGGACGGGTTTGGCTGTGATGCCTAGAAGCCCAGGTCGTGCTCTATTGTCGTTTCCTTCAGATCAAGGGCGGACGAGCACCGCGAGCGGCTTGCTGCAGGCTCAGACCCAACGCTCCCATCCACCGCCCAAGCGTGTGTGAACCAAGCCCGCGGATTGACTTTGGTCGCCAGCCATGCACGTGCGCACGCACCACAACACGCATAGGGGGGCTGCCGTACCCCAGTCCAACCACAACGCAAACCTGCATGGCCCGTCAAAGCCCTCGCGCCCTCGCAAATCCAATTCCAGCCCAAGCACAACACCAACGCCCCGACAGGCAGCCCCCCCCACCTGTCGTCATCCCGACCGGCGGCGCGTCCGGCGCGCGCTCGAACTCGAACCGCCGCAGCAGCATGGACAGGCCCACCACAGCCTCGAAGAGCGCAAACTGGTCTCCGACGCACTTGCGGCGGCCGCCGCCGAAGGGCAGGTAGCGGTAGCCCTCGGTCACCTCGTTGGGCATCGGCGAGTCGATGGGAAACCTGTAGGAGGTTGTGTGTGTTTGGGTGTATGTGAAAAACTGTGTGTTTGTGTAGGTGTGTGTGTGGGTGTGCATGTGGTTGTGTGGGTGTGCGTGTGTGACGGGCAAGTGAGGTGAAATGAGGCTGTTGTAACCGTTGCTTTTTTGTGAAAACTTGCCAGCTGGCGAGCGGGGGAAGGGGGACAGGCAGGCAGCATGTACAGTGCTTTGCGATGGTGCAGGGGTGCAGTGGTTGTTCATGAGGCCCTGCAGTGTGGGCCATCCCGCGCCCCAGGTCGCGCTCAAAGTCATGACGGAAATCACCTGTCGGGATCAAACTCATGGGGCCGGTCCCAGTTGTTGGGGTCCCTGTGAAGGTTCCACACGCTGATGAAGATGTCGCTGCCAGCTGGCACCTGGTACTCATCGAAGCTGTCGTCCTGTGGGGACAATGGAAGGCGGGCAGGTGCGCAGGGGTGCGGAGAGGGTCCAAGGTTGAACTGTTGAAGGGCCCGCTTGCGCCGCCGCAGAGCAGGTGGAGGCAGCGCGGCGGCAGGGGCCGCAGAGGCTCCATTCAGCAGCCGCAGCGGCAACAGCAGCAGCAGCAGCGGCAGCGGCAGCGGCAGCAGCAGCAGCAGCAGCAGCAGCAGCAGCAGCAGCAGCAGCAGCAGCAGCAGCAGCAGCGCCAGCAGCAGCAGCAGCGCCAGCGCCAGCGCCAGCG